CCAAGCTTTTCTTTAATGAAGTTTATAGTCCTTGGTTTTAGTCCTAGGTCCATGATCCACCTTGAGTTGGTTTTTGTATATGGAGTGTGAGGTGTGGATCTTGCTTGAGTCTTCTGCAGATAGTTTTCCAATTTTGCCAACACCATTTGTTAAAAAGTCAGCCAATTCTTTTTGGTACAATGACTCTGTATATTCCTTCCATCTTCTTTTAATGCTTCCTAAATCATTCAATATTCTGCCTATAACATCCTTAAGCATTGCAACTCATGGCTTGAATTTGTTCTTCAGTTTCTTCATCTGAAGAAATACTGAGCAACTTCAGCCCCTTTGATTTTTTTACTCCAGCTTCTTGCACATTTCATTGTATTGTTTTGCCTTGTCTTCCCAAGCTGCCCTTTGAAATTTTCTGTTCAGCTGCTTAACTTCTTGATTTCTTCCCTTTGCTTAGGCTTCTCAGTGCTCTAGAGCAATATTCAGAGTCTCTTCTAGCATCCATTTTGGTCTTTTCTTCTTCTTCTCCCTTCTTTGTAATGACTTTTTGCATTCTTCATGAACTATATTCTTGCTATCTTCCCACAGCTCATCTGGTCTTCATGCATTGTGTTCAAGGCCTCAAACCTATTCCTGAGTCAGTTTTTAAATTCAAGTGGATAGTCTTAAGATCAAATTTTTATTTCTGTGGATATGATTTTACCTTCTATAGCTTTAATTTAAACTTGCATATAAGTAGTTGATGGTCTATTCCACAATCAGCACGTGGCCTAGTTTTCACTGCTGATACTAAATGTCTCCAATGAGTCTCTCCACAGATGTAATTGATCTGATTCCTTTGCAATTCCTCATATGTTTACTGGGTTGAATTAAAGATAAGATACAGAAGGAAATCTAGAGACAAATGTGTAAAACCTACTTAATACTTCCTACCTGCTTCGTCTTCCATCTTTCATCAGAGCATAAAATTGGAAGCTAAATAAAACTTGTCGTCCGGCCCCCACCTGCTCCTGCTACTCGGGTTCTGCCTTCACCCGCCAGACCCTTCCCCCCTAATTTGGGGCGAGCAGAGCTGCACCCAGTGGAAATAAAGCCGTTTCAGGATTATCGAAAACTCAGCAACAATCTTGGTGGTCCTGGGTCATCACGTACTCCCTCAGCTGGAAGGTCTTTCTCTGGCCTCAATTCCCGCCTAAAGGCCCCACCTCCCAACTACAGTGGAGTCTTCCGCACCCAGCGCATTGACCTCTACCAGCAGGCCTCCCCACCGGATGCCCTGCGCTGGATGCCGAAGCCTTGGGAACGGACAGGGCCACCTTCTCGAGAAGGGTCCTCTCGAAGGACAGAAGAGCCTGGGTCCCGAGGGGACAAGGAACCTGGGTTACCCCCACCCCGCTGAGGGGAAGATCCCCTTGCCCCTCACCCTCTACCCCCCGGGGCTTGTATATAGATTATAAATATATATAAGGGGGAATGGGGTGGGTGGGGAGGAGTTGTGGGGCTGGGGCCTTGCTTCCCCTCCTCCCCCTTCCCCTGGTCCCCTAACCCTGGGGCCGTTTGTTAAAAAAGAATAATAAAATAATTTAAAAAATATTTACAAAAAAAATGCCTAACAACATGAAGATTCACTTTCCTTGGCCTCTGACATCTCCTGTAGAGAGTGTCTGTTGAGAATGTCTCCTGACACTTTTAAGTGTCCAGTGTCTTCTCACTGTAGACAGCTATTGAGTTGACACTCTGTTCCCCATGCTCATCCCATCTCTGTCTCACACAAAAGCCAGTCCTTAGTCTGAATTCTTTCTCAGTCGTAAACTGTGACATTTTTCCAGAAATTAATTTTCCAAAGTATGTTTCTCTGAGTCCACAAATACAAAGAATTTTCAAATTCACATACATTTGAGAGACTATTTTCTCTTCCTGTAAATTCATTTCACACCCACTAAAGGCTTTTAAAAAATTCATAGCTAAATAAGAAGATGGAAAAGAAAAAGAATAAAGGTAAGAAGAATTTCTATTTGTCTAGTTTTGCCAAATTTATCTGATCATAGAACCATTTGTTTATCTGTTTCACTGACTTACTCATTGCTGTTGAGTTAGAACCAATTCATAGCAGAGCTTCTGTTGACTTTCCAAGAGTATAAATCATATGGGAAGAGCTTGTCCATCTTTCATTCACAGAATTATCAGCTCTAGGCCCCTCTGCCTTTGGTTTCACTGTAGTACAAATCCCTAATGCCACGTATGCAGAACCGACCCATAGCTGACACTCAAGTGGATTTTCAGAAGTTACAAATTGGTTGTAAATGAGAGGAGATTGCCCATCTTTTTCCATGGAGTGGCTGTTGGATTTGAACTGTACACATTTATGTTGGCGGCACAACTCCTTACCACTAGGCCACCAGAAATCTCTTGTATTTTATGATACACATTTTTAAAGAATTTTTTTATTCTTTATGAGAGTAATTGGATTGGTGCTTGTCCCTAATAATGGCCTTGTAATTTAACTCGAACCTCCTAGAAAGATACCTTAACCCAAGGCATTCAATTCCTGGCAAGAAAATGTTATACAATGACAATCTCTTGAGGGTGATGATGCGTGGCAGAGTTTTCCCTTTTCCCACAAAATGTAATCAGGAAATACAATCTGCCTGCCAAGAGATCCGTGCAGCCCCATGGTGGCTGGTACTACAGTGCACACCTACCAGGAATTCAGGAACCATGGCTGCAAAGGCTTGTTTGCAAAATCATATTTTTCTACTACAAGCATATGAATATAAAATCCCTGAGGAGAAAATGGAAATGATACGGTTTATCACACAGTTTTCCTTGCGCTGCATTTTCTGAAAAAGGCATTATTACATAGGATCTTTTTGAAATGTGTTTTGATTTTATAATTTTATTTATTCATGGTTTTCTAATGTTAAGGTATTGTGAGAGTTTAAAATTCTATTTCAGATCCACCTAAATGTGTCTGGAAAGACCTATGAAAACAGTGTCTACTACTTGAATTATCTGTGGTGTTGTCTGTGCTCTGGCTAATGGCTTCAACTGCTTCCTGCAGGAGCTATCTCAATAGGCAACTTTTTCTCTTAGCATCACAGTCCCCTCAACAACCTGCTCCAACTGAGCCAAATAAAGCCTGATTGACACACCACAGGCAGACCTCTCAATTCTCATCTGTCTTCAACTCCCTCTATTCAAATTATGTTACTGCAGATGTTTTCTCCATCATCAATGTCAGACGACTCAAGACATCTTAGCCTGTCCTTTTGTTTCTCCTCCTTCTTCATTTGCTCTCATCTCTTAGCCTCTCACTCATTCAGTACTAGAATCTTCACTAGATGGGCTAGAGAATAATTAGAGGTAAAATATCTTCTAAGGTAGTTTTATTTGAAGTAGCAATGATAGAGGAAACTTTGAGGCTGCAGACCAGGCCATGATTTTGTCTATTTGTATTTTTCTCAGTTACTATTTTCTTGCATTAATCCAGAACAAAACCCAAAACTTTGTTTTGTTTATGATGATGAAAAATATAAAGACTCATAACTTATAGCTGTCTCTCATACATTTTCAGGATAGTTTTGTACACAACTTTAGCACAATGAGTTAAAAAACAACACTGTAATAAAGCAGCAATACCAGCAATGGCCCTAGATATTTTATTAAACACATTATTTATGTTTTTAAAAAACACACCAAAACCCCAATACTTAGATTCTACTGTGTCCAAGGCAATATACTTGAGGCTGTGGGTGAATAAATGAAAAGCATTCCTGTTAAAATCTAGTGAGTAAGATAGAGCAGTTAACAAGGACCTAACCTGTAGTGAGACAAAGATTTGAAGGAAATCTTTCAAGAATTCCGTGGGGAAACAGAAATTCCATTCACCTGGTGTCTGGAAAAGCTACTTCTGAGGTAAATCTTGAAGACAAGGAGAAAATTTCCAGGAGGTAAAAGGGAGAAGAGCAAAAAAAGGATAAATGCCTTGGAAGTAAAAGAAAAAATGTTAAGTCTGGGAGACAGTGATCTGTTTCTGAAGCATTTGATGCACATGAGCAAGACAAGGAACAGTGAAACAAGGGATGAGGTAGCATAAATGATAAAGGGTCTAATACATCCTGCAAAGGTATTTGAATTTTATTTAAGACATAGGAAGCCATAGTGTATATTCAGACAAATAAATCACATAATTGAAGTTAAATATTGCAAAAGTTACTGTTTTAGCAATATCTTGTCTAGACTCGAGATTGAAGCAGTAAAAATTGGAAATGTGTTGAATTAGAAATCTGTAAGTTAAAGAAGACTTATGTTAATTACTAACAAGAAATATATGGGAGATAAAAAAATTAAAATCTAGAATCATTTCCAAATTTTAGCTCCAGAAACTGAGGCAATAATGCTTCCATTCACTAAAATGGAAGCTCTTTGAGAAAGAGTAAGTTTAGTAATGAAATTTAAACTGTATGGATTCAAATTTCTTACACAATATTCAAGTAGCTATTGTACAGTATCACATTTAAGCTAGAGATTGTTTTTGTGTGCTATTGAGTCAGAGTCAACCCATAGCTGACCTTCCAGTCAGTTTTCAGAGGTAGTAAATCACATTGGTTGGTTGGTTTTTTGTAATGTTTCAGAAGTTATTCTCTCACACCATTATTCTAACAAAAAATAGTTTTCCTCATATTATGTAGACAACTGATTTTTATAAGCCTCCCTGGAGATCAAGGAAACACCAAATACCTAGTTCCACTCATTTGTACTGTGTCATATATGTTCTTTCCTGTCTTCTTGATAGTTCGGCGGTGACCACCAACTCATAGCTGACCCTTTGGCAGGTTTTCAGAGGCAATTAATTGCATGGGAGGAGACTGCCCATCTTTCTCTTGAGGAATAGCTGGTGGCCTCAAACCTCATGCCTTTGGGATTGCAGAGCAGCTTTTTGCCATAAGGCTACCCACAAGTGAAAACAATCTGACCCTTCAGCCTTATTTTTCTTCAAACTGCCAGACTTTTCTGTGGTCTTTCTGGTCCAGATAATTACCACCTTAATTTAACAAATAAGAAAAAGAGACTAAAGAGAGGTGGTTGTTGTTGATTGGCATCAAGTCGAACATGACTCATAGCAATCCTATGAACAAAAGTCCTGAAGCCTTCCTATAACTATTGTCATTTATCAAACAAAGTTCATAGAGTTTCCAGAGGCATGTTGTTTAAGAAGTGGTTGTCACTCCTGCTTGGTTATTCACACTGTGCCAGGATTAAACTCTCACTGGGCTTCAAATGCATTGATGTTCTACTACCTCCAGTTCTGATGGTAATTCTCCTATTGGTACTCTTTTAATCCCTTAAAATTTCTTATTTATTGAAAATGGATCCTAGTTAAGACTGGATACTATTTTTGAAATTTGACTTCACAGTTCTCACATAAATTGAAGTCTCTATACCCAGTTTAAAAAGCAGTTTACAAAGATAAAGTTTAGTAAAAATATAGTAAAAATTGTTCTTATTATGCCAACACTCAGTGTTGCCATCTCATTTCCCCTTCTATCAAGTAGAGAAGACAAAAAACAAAACAAAATAAAAAACAACCAAACTCCAAGTAGACAATGAATTTCAGAAAATAATTACATTAATTACAGTGAAACTTAAAATAATTTAAAAAAATAAGTAATATTCGTCTAAGTGAGCGTGTTGTTGTGTACCATCGAGTCAGAACTGACCCAGAGCTGACCCTCCAGCAGGTTTTCAGAGGCAGTTGACCACACAAAAGGAGATTGCTTACCCTTCTTCCTCAGAACAGATGGTGGAGTCAAACGACTCACTTTTGGGACTGCAGCACAGCTTCTTGCCACAAGGTCACCAGAGCTCCATAAGAGAGCATGTTGTTGTCATGTGCTGTCGAGTCAACTCCAACCCATAGTGACCCTATGTATAACAGCTCTGAACCCTGCTCTATGCTGAGCCAACTTCAACATCTCTAACACAGAGAACCAAATTATCCCAGTCACTGACACAATTTATCTTATCCAGGGTCTTCCTCTCTAGTGCTGTCCCTTCACCCTTCCAAGCATGAAGTCCCTCTCCAAGAACTGCTCCTTCCCTGCAACATGCCCAAAGTATGTCAGATGGAGCTTCAAAACCCTTGCTTCCAGGGAGCAGTCTGGTTTTACCCTCTCAAGGAAAGATGTGCTTGTTCTCTTAGTAGTCCACAGTATATTCAATACTCTTCTCGAGCACCACAACTCTGATTCTTCTATTATCCTTAGTTATTGTACAGTTCTCTGATGCCTAGCAAGTAATTGTGAAGACCATGACCTGGATCAAGAACACCTTAGCTTCTAGCCTGACATCATTGCTCTTCAGTACTCTGGAGAGGTCCTTGACAGCCAGTTTTCCCAA